GGCCACCTTAACTGCCTGGTGGTGACGCCATCGGGGCGGTGGCCCGGGAAGGTTTAAAAGCTGTTGCAGGCAGCTGGGAGGCAGAAAAGCTGCTGCAGGCAGGAGCGGGCAAAGGGGAGGCTGCAAGGCAGGAGCAGGCAGAGGGAGCCACCACACCTGGCAGGATGGATGTGGGGCAGGTGACATCCACCAACGGGCTGAGTACAGTGGCTGCCAACAGGCTGGATGGCTGGATTGCGGAGACCCTGCAGCCCAGCACAGATTTCTGCAAGCAGGTGAAGCAGACGGTGAAGCAAATCTGCGACTTCCTGAAGGAGGACTGCTTTGAGACCAACATCCATGTCCACAAGACCGTCAAGGTGAGCACTGCCTAGCTCAGGGGCCAACTGGCACCCCTGTTGCCACCCTTCCCTCTGTCCCACTGCTCCACCTCCTGCCCTGCCTCAGTTTCCCCTGGAAGCTCCAGGAATGGTGACAGGCAATCCCCGTGCCGAGGGGCAGGGGTGCTGAGCAGGCAGGCTATCTCTCTGCAGGGCGGCTCAGCAGGCAAGGGCACAGCCCTGAGGAACAACTCCGATGCCGATGTGGTGCTCTTCCTCAGCTACTTCTCCAGCTACGAGGAGCAGAAGCAGAAGAGAAGTTATATCCTGGATTTGATCGAGAGGAGGCTGCACGCCTGCAGGCAGAGGCTGACATTTACCGTGGACATCAGCGAGCCCCGGTACAAGGGTCCCGGCAATACACCGCGCTCCCTCAGCCTCACCCTCTGCTCCAAGGAGACCTTGGAGTCCATTGAGGTGGACATTCTGCCTGCCTACGATGCCTTGGGTAAGGAGCGCGAGCTGGTGCGGGGCTGGGCTGGGGCGTCTGCACCGAGATGGCTCTCACCCTCCTTCTCGCCCTGCAGGGCCGGTGAGCCGGGATGCCCCCCCGGACGCCAGGGTGTTCGTGGAGCTCCTGAATGCCCACAGTGACCCCGGGGAGTTCTCCCCCTGCTTCACTGAGCTGCAGAAGATGTTTGTGAAGCGTTACCCTGCCAAGCTGAAGAACCTCCTGCGCCTGGTCAAGTACTGGTACAAGCAGGTGAGGGCCTGCCCGGCTTCCCCAGCACCTGATGGGCACCCACCCCGGCCAGCTCTCACCCCCATCCCTGTCTTCTCCCTAGATGCTGAAGCCACAGTACCCCTCCGCAGACCTGCCCCCCAAGTATGCCCTAGAGCTGCTGACCATCTATGCTTGGGAGGAGGGCACAGGCTCCTGCGAGTCCTTTGTCATGGCCGAGGGCTTCCGTACAGTGCTGGAGCTGCTGTGCCAGCACCGGGAGATCTGCATCTACTGGGAGACATACTACTCACTCCAGCACAGCCAGATCGGTGCCCACGTGAAGGAGCTGCTGCGCAGTCCCCGGTAAGGACTACGCCCGGTGGGACCAATGCCACCTGCCCCATGGTGTTGCCTAGGGCTGACGGCAGCGCCCACCCTTTCTGTTCACAGCCCCATCATCCTGGACCCCGCCGACCCCACAGGGATCCTGGGCCAAGGCAAAAATTGGGACCTAGTGGCACAGGAAGCTGCCCGCCACCGTTCACTGCCCTGCGTCAATACTGCGCGGCCCTGGGATGTGCAGGTAAGGCTGGCTGTGCCTGCGGGCATCACGGCCCCTCCTGCCCCTGCTGGCTTTGCCCACCCACTCTTCTGTCCCCGCAGACAGCCCGGACCGTGAAGATTGAGGTGAAGCAGCTGATGGGTACCAGCTTGAGCATGACTGTCAGCCCAGGCACCACTGTCTGGCAGCTGAAGGAGAAGATTGAGCAGGCGTGGGGCATTCCCTGGTACAGGCAGCGCCTGGCACAGCAGGAGCCAAGCAGTGTCGTCCTGCAGGATGACAAGACCCTGGCCACCTATGGCATCTTCTACAGTACCACGCTGCTGCTGCTGCAGACCGAGTCCCAGGCAATGGAGGTCTTTGTGAAGGACGACAAGAACCGGACCACCACCTACACTGTGCAGCCCACTGACACTGTCCAGGAGCTGAAAGAGCAGATCCACAGGCGGCAGGGGCCTCTGGCCAACCAGCAGCGCCTGACATACGGCTCCAGGGAGCTGGAGGACCAGCACACCCTGGCGCACTACAATATCCAGCCCAGGAGCACCATCTTCATGCTCCTACGGCTCCGGGGGGGTGCAGTCCCCCAGCACCCCCAGTTCCCTGCCTGCTCGCTCTCCTGAGCATCGTCCCCACCACCAGCCCACACGCCTGTACCCTGTCGTCACGCTGGCAATAAACACCTTGATACATCCTTGTGCTGCTCTCACTGGGTTGGGGATGGTGCCAAGTGGCATGCGGGGGGTAGTCAAAGGGGGACTGGTCAAGGGGGAACCCCATTGGGATGAGGGGGGACCTCAATGCTGCCAGCTGCTGGGACAGCATAGGGACACAAGCAGCAGTGCTGCCTGAGCCCAGGGTGCCCGGTGGAGTTGGGGGTGCTAGCCAGACCTCAGGAAAAAAACAGCTCCATACTCTGCCTCCCCTCTGCCTGCTCCAACCCGCAGCAGCTTCTGAACCTCCCTGGGCCACCACCCTGATCACCACCAGGCAATTAAGGTGGCCCCAGCCCTGGCTCCCCAGGGTGTTCCAGCACAGGGACTCCCCACCACAGGGACCCTGCACCAGACCCTGCCCGGGGGCTGGGGGTACCCCGCCTGTGCCCACGCCGGGGGGTCAAGCGTCCGGGCTGGGGCACAGCCCGTGCTGGGACAGGGCTGGTGCTGGTGGCCCTGGTGCCACCACAGGCAGTAGGAGGCAGCAGACACCGACATCGGCTCCCGCCACTGCCTTAAGCGCTGGGCTGGCGGCACTGGAGAAATGCCAAGTTTCGTTTTTCGTCTTCTTCCAGAAACGAAAGCATGAGGGGGCTGAAAGCCTGGGGGGACCCCATCGGCCTTGCCATTCTCCCCACGGGACTTGCCCTCCCTACCGCCCCGGGTGCTGCTGAGCACCCCGACTGTTTTGGCTCAGGGTGGCAGCGGGGCTCCCTGCTGTAGGGCACCAGCCTTGGCCACCCCAAGCACTTCCTGGGGCTCCGGCACCTGTGTCCGACCAGCACCTGTCCTGCCTCTCCAGGGTCCCATTCCCACCCATGGCCCCCCCCAGACCCAAGGGTGGCCCTGCTGCTCTGTCCCCCTCATGGTGCCATGCACAGGGGGTCACAGCCTGGCCTTGCTGCCCCCCACCCCCCGGGGCAGGTTTACATTCATCCGTAACAGTCGTTAATAAATATTTTGGTGACTCTGCGGTGCCAACAGCCAGCTGGGTCCTCCCCTGTTGGTGCTGGAGCTGGTGGCATGGGTGGCCAGCGGCCCCTCAGGGTGGGGACAGTCAGCCCAGCTGCCCTCCTGGCCCCCAGAGCTGCAGCCCCCGCCGCTGCCC